ACACACACACACACACACACACACACAGAGTATTCCTGGTGTCCTGCTGTCCAATAAAGTTGTAGCGTTGAGAGATGAAGCTGTTACATCACCTCGTGCACCCCCCTCCTCTCTGCAGATAATTCATCATCGTTCTCATCTTATTAACTGGAGATCACTTCAGAGCTGTTACACCACCTCCCCCCACCCCCTCTCAGAGTCGCTCGCTTATTTAACGACGAGTCCATTTTATGGTATTATTTAGTTTTATACGAGTCATAACTCATCTTCATCATTCGTGTGTTGTGATGAGGTTTCTGTGAGGAGGGTAACTGTGGATCAGTTCATTAAAAAGTTTGGAAACTTTGTGAAAAATCACTAATTTAACTGTAGCTTTCGACCTAACATGGAGCACAGACTGTAAATAAAGACGGGTAAAGATGGACGAGCTCCTCAAGTGACGCTGAATCATCGGTATCTCTTCCAGCCGATTGGTCACATGTGTGATCTTTACTCAGTCTGTGTTCACGACTGTTATTCTCGCTGATGATTAATTGTACTGATTCATGTACTGGTTGAAAAAAACAACAACACAGGATGCAGTTCTAAAAAATTCCTGTTTACCTTTGACGTCCCCGCTAAGCGTGGTGTTGACGTTCTGCTTCTCCTCCAGCCCACCAGAGCCCTCGCGCTCATCCTGCCGCTGCTTCTGAGCGTCCAGGCTGAGCTCCAGCTCTGTGAGCCTACTGTGAAGCTCCAGGTCCAGGCCTAAACCGCCGGGTCCTGTCTGTCCCGCAAATGTCTCACCGGACAGGAAACTAGTGTCTGTGACCAGCGGTGAGCACGGCGGCGATAGCGAGGAGAGGGACGAGCGTGGCGATAAAGAGCTCATGGAGCGGGGGGTTTCTGAGAGTCTGAGGGCCTGGATCCTGGACGACCCCAGCTCCGCTCCTCCGCCCCCTGCGCTCCCTCCAGCTGAGAACTCCGTGTCTCCTCCCAGCCCTCCCGTTTTGCCCTCGGGCCTCACGGCGTCCCTGCCTCCACAGCCCGTCACCACTTCGTGCTCGTGGATGGTGGTGATGGAGCTGGAGGGGCGGTAGCCGCCCTGGCCGCCCTCCTGCAGGAGGCTGTCCAGCTTGTTCTGGAAGTCCGGGTCGGCCAGCTCGGGCTGCTCCAGGTAGATGTCGGTGAAGCTGAGCGAGGAGGTGGAGCCCAGGCTGGAGGTGGTGGCGAGGGAACCGCGGCTCGACGTCAGAGATCCTCGACTGCTGCCGGAAGAACACGACAAGGTGCTGGCTGAGAGGCTGCAGGGAAGAGCGAGAGAAAACAAAGAGTTAGAATCTACGACGAAGACACTTCAACCGTTTGATAAAATAAATCTACTGTTTCTAAACAGATCTTATGAATGTGAGGTCATCGTGAAAGCTGCATAGAAAACAGCTTCACACTTTCAACATTCATCAAGGACGTGTCCAAACTGGTTGACTCATCGCTGCTGTAACGACAGATCAGTCATTAAAGCAGTAGCGGCTCATTTGTTGCTTTCTCTTTGAGACTGAACTGATGACGGAACAAAAGAGACGTGAGGTGAGAACAGAAACACGGAGAGAACGTCGACCTTTTAGTTTGAACTTGGAAACCAGCAGCGTGAAATATTTAACAACATTCTTCCTGAGATTCTTACTGCAGGTTTGCATCATCTCAAAATCTCAAAAAACACTGAGCTCTGAGCTGAATTTAGATGAAATGAGATTCACTGAGAAAGTCGAGGGGAAAAAAACAAGTTTCATCTTTCACCAATGTTCGGTCATCAGAGGTTAAATATCCGGAGCAACATTTGTGTTCTCACATTCAGAACCTCCGGAACATTTCAGCGACACGTCTCCTCTACGCGAACGTCTCCTCTTCTTCATTTGTAAAGCGATTAAACATCTTTTAAAACGAAGAGCTAGCCTGAATAATCAGGAATCACATGAACAGACCTTTTGAGTTGAGTGTGTAGTGACGTAGCGAGTCGAACCGTCTCCTCCAGCTCCCGGACCAGTTTGTTTCTTTTGCAGTGAAGTCGCAGCCTGAAACGACAGAAAATGAAAAAACCTTTGTTCAATAACGGAGCGTCTCTATCACGTCGCTCTGCTTTATATTCAGGAAGATTGAAAGAAAAAAAAAAAAAAAATGTAATCTCTGCAAACACTGGAGGTTTGAGCAGCTGAGGGGACGTTAACGGATGTGACACGGCGGCAGCGACGCGTTCAGGTGTCACCTGTTTGTTGGAGCTTTGTTTGGAGGAAACCGGTCCATTAACAGAAGATAATATGATCCACAGTTTGAGAGGAAACTAGTGGAGATCAAGTCACAGAGTGCGACTGTGTGTGTGTGTGTGTGTGTGTGTGTGTGTGTGTGTGTTCCTGCTAACCTGTGTTTCCTGTCACATAACTATTCCTCTGTTATGCTCATGCTCACACTTCTCAGCCCCGAGCCAAAGACGTGACGAAACTGAAATCTGCTCAAAGTTTCTAAAACATTCCAGTGCTGAAGAATTGCTTTTTATTTTATTTTTTTTAATCAGACATTGATCCAAATGTATTAGTCTGTTTTGTCTTCTGTCAGATTTCAGATGTTGGGACGGGATTTACATTTATTAACTCTGGATTATTTTTGCCTCACGGTTTAACAGATTTACCAAGAAGTCATTTATGTTGTGCAGAATATAAATATATTTAATAATATTCAGTTAATCTTTGAGTCGAAGTGAACAGACTTTAATTTAACCTGTTTAATCTCTTTAACCAGCTGATTATATTTGATGTTATTTAATTTTTCTTATTATGGTTTCATCACAATGTTTTAACTGTTTACATGACGCACTTTGACATCTGATTTATGTTTTACCCAAAAATCTTTCAAATGCTCTAAAAACCTAATTTTTTAACCTGTGTGTGTGTGCGTGCTTGTTTTGTTCGTTTTGCTGTATGAACGACATTCTCCATGTTTGTCTCATCGTGACATAATCACAGCGAAGCCTCTGATTGGTCAGAACACCTAAAAGCATTTGAGTGGGTGTGAAGAAAGAACTAAAGGACGGACTCGAGGTTAGTGAACGTGACATTTTCAGTGTGTGCGCATATTTCTGGTGTCAGCAGGAGAACGCTGGACTACAGGGCTTCCTTTTATGACCTGGCTCGGTGGCGCCTCAGGTTTCAGAATCAGGAGACAAGACACAAAGAGCAACTGAGCTCAGGTAGAGTCTGACCTGAACTCAGAACAACAAGAGTCCTGTTAGAGCAGGAGGAGGAGGAGGAGGAGCGGTGGTTCTGGTTTGCTGATTTTGAGGGAAGGAGAAAGGAGGATGAAGCAATAAAGAGGAGAGGGGGGTGAATCAGAGTCGAGTAAATGTTATAAATACTATTTAAATCAATAAAGCAACAATACAGATGCAGTTCTTCTCATAATTTAGCTGAAAACCAGAAATGTGGAACTTGTCGATGAAGGGTATCTGAGGGAACCTGCTCCTGGTTCTTGAAGAAGTGAATCTCTGATCTGATCTCTGCGACTGAAATGAACCCCCCCCCCCTCACCTCTCGGTCAGAGCCTTGCTCTGGTTGTCTCTGGCGGCCTGCAGGTCTCTCTCCAGACGTTTCTTCTCCGACTCCAGCTTCTCTGCGTCGTTGGGCTCCAGCCGCTGGCGGGGGCTGATGTACTGCAGCTCCTTCAGCAGCTCCTCCTTCTCGTTGATGAGGATGAGACGATCTCGCTCGGGGTCCAGCAGCCCCGGCCACGCCTCGCTGTCCAGTTTGGCTATCTGCACCTCGATGGTGGCGATCCTGTGTGAGGAGAGGAGACAGATGGTGAATGTGAAGGACAGAGACACACAAAACACAAACTCCTCACTGGCCTGTCAAAGTGACGACTACCTTCTCTTGGCCTCCTCGTACTTCAGACTCAGACGAACCTTCTCCGCCAGTTTGTTGCTGCTGGTTATGAACTAAAACAAACGACATGAAGTAAATGTTAAAACACATAAATTAGAATAAACAGACAAGATGTGGAATACTTTGAATCAAAACGCCTTTTGAAATGTCTTTGCTGTGACGTCATCGCTGCCCTGTGAAGTTTAAAACTACGTCCTGGTCTTTCCGGACGCTCCACACTCACCTCTGCGGGGATGTCGGTCTGAGAGCCGGCGTCCGAGTAGAGCCGCGGGATGGACAGCTCCGAGTTGGCGAGCGAGGGACTGCTGCCCCACAGGTCCTGCTGCGATCCAGAGTCCAGCTGGAAACCGTCCTTCAGCACCGCCAGTTTCTGCACGAACACGAAATTGAGATGAATTTGATAAAATACAAACATCTTAAGATGATATCCGTCAAATATGATTCAAGATCAAAACATTCATCAGATCTGGTTCTTGATCCGGTTTCGTGCCAGATTCTTGAATCTACTGAACCAAACCTTGTTTAGAACAGTTTTGTAATGAAGGACACGTCATCATCAGAGGACGGAACGCGAAAAGACGACAAAGCTCTTTCTGATCAGTGGGACCTGATGTGAGGATGGTTTTTTGTTTGGTTTAAGCTGGAAACCAAATTTTCAGGTTCTGAACTGAAACACACACACACACACACACACACACACACACACACACACACACACACACACACACACAGAGCTGTCAGCTGCACATGGTACGGGGGGGGGCAAGTGCACAGAGCAGATTATGTTTTATTGAAAACACTCTCCTTCTACTGACGCCTAAAAAATCTGCAGCTTTCTCTGATAAGACCTGGTGTCACACATCTACATGGATATATTTACGACTTGTGTCTAATGTTTAGGTCATTAATGATAATTATTTTTGGGTTTTTAACTTCTCCACATTATCTGTTTAATATGTCGAGCAGATGCAGCAGCTAAAGTTAAAACCTGGAGAAGTTAAAACTTTATTTTCTAATAAATATCCAGACTCAATAAACCGTTGTTTGTCAGTTGATGCATCAGAAGCAAACAGCGAACAGATTTCATGTTCGTCTCTGCAGAGAAAGTACATCGTACATCTGCCGCCAAGTCCCATCATGCATCTTTAATAAACTCTGCAGCCGTGGAGGACACACGGACGAGTTCACACAGGAACGCTGTCACACACAGTCGAAGGACGGGGGGGGAAGAGGAGGAGAGATGACAAACTAGGTGGAAAACACCTTCAACACATCAGAGGCCAGATTAGATAAAAATAATAATCATTTATTTCTTTAAGGTGTTTCATAGTTTAAGTTTTACATTAAGATCTTTAGTAAACTCTCAGGGCGAATTTTAAAGATGGTTGTAAAGGAGCTCTGTGGTGCATCGTGTGTTCTGCTGATGTTTTCAAGGATCCTGCTCAAAACTGTTGACCTGCAGCCACAGTGTTTCTGCTTTCAGGACGACTCCTCGCCGCTCGGGCCCCCCCTCCCACAGGCCGTCATCAGAAACGACTGAGGTGTGACAGTAAAGCTCCACCTGCAGCCTCCACTCACCTCCATCACTAAATCTGCTTCAGTGCGTCTGGCTTGTTTTCCTCCCGGCAGTAAAATGTAAAGTGTTTTAACACGAGAGCAGGCTCTCCTGAGAGTCGTCTGACGACTCCTGTTCCTCGCCTCGTTCGCTTGTTTATACTCCATCTCCTCCTCCTTATAAAGGCTCTGTTATATTCCCTCCTTCATGAAGAGAAATCACTTCTTTTCCCTGCTCTTTACTGTCGCTCGCTGCAGAGTCAGCAGATCGTTTATCATCCTGAGGTTTTCAGCACTTTTCATCGGACTAATAAAACCGAAGAGGAACCAACCGCAGGAGGAGGAGCTGCTCCACAAACATGCAGGCGACATCTTTTATTTTGTAAATAAAACTTAAACCAATATTTGGGATGAGTCCACTTATTCTTTGTTTCCATGGAGATGAATCTGACTGTACCTGCATGAGTTCCTGTTTCTCCTTCTCTCCGGAGCTGATGGCGTCTCGGATGGAGCGGACCTCGCTCAGGATGGCCTGCGCCTCCTGCAGCTTGAAGCCGTACGAACTGTTCGACACCTTCTGGTCGATCCTGGAGGAACAATGGAGGAGGTAGAGGGTGGGGGGTTAACGACAGCGTCTTATCAAAATGTTTAAGTCACATGATGGTTCAGTGTAAATGAGAGGATTTCTTCATGTTTGCATAGGGAACTGGTTCAGCTTCAGTTCGTGATAAACAAACACACTGACTCTGTTTTGCTAATGAAGTCAACTGTCACACGTAATCTCTCCTCACGAATATTCTCCAAAGTTTCTGAGTTACTGTTCGTAACGGACTGAAAACTGTGGAGCAGCAGGAAGGTTATCTGTGTTGAAACAGTGTCGGAGGTTTGAATTTTATGGGACTCAGCCGAGGAGCAGGGCTGCATGTGTCATATCTGTTTTGAGATGCAAATATTAAATGATCCCAACAAACATGACAGTTAATTTCTACTTTACATCGACTGGTTTTATGAATTTAAATTTTTTAAACACTCAATTGATTAAAGTGACGTGTCGGAATAATAAACATTTTACTGGAAATTCATGTGAACTACTCAGAAAGTTGGTAAAAGTTTTGGTACAATATATTTTTTTGACGTCATATATTTACAAAAACATGGTGAACAAAAACAAATGTTAGAAACCTTTAATACTGACTATTAATTAATAGTAAATTAACATCTAATTTGTAATATGATTTAAGGTTCATGTAGAGTGACCTAGATAAGTTGTGTATATATGTGTTGTTTTTACAATCTGAGTTTAAAGTACATAAAGACATTTGGATTATCTGAGGAGCACATGAATGCATCATGAAGTCATATTCCTGTAACAGATCGTTTCTAGAAAGAGGAGTTAATTCTTTATTTTGTTATCTTAGTTTTATTTATTTTAGAAGTTGCTCAGTGTAAAAAGAGAACAGTTCAAAAACAACATCAAACCCCTGAACGAGACTCGTATCACAGGTCGAATCAAACATGTTGGATAGTGTGTCGTTGCCTTCAGGTGAATTTAAACAGTTGAGATAACAATCACATGTTGGTTCAGTGACTTAAACGTTAAACACGTCAGATCAGATCCTGCTTTTATCCGAGAGGACACTGGGACGACCCGGGAAAAACAACCGTCTCAGGCAGCGGTGGCAGCAGGGACTATGTAAACCCTGTCATCGACAAGTCATGCATGCATCTGAATAACAGGTCCGTCCACATTCTTCAGAGAGGGAAGAGGGGGAGGGACGGAAAGAGAGGGAACAAGGGAGAGAGAGAATGAGGAAGCAGCCAAAGGAGCGAGGGAGGGACTTGTCTTTAACAGCAGAGACCAAGGAGCGATCGTCTCCGAGTGAAAACCTTGTTATTAATGTTTTGATACTTGAAATGACAATGACCTCTTTACTAATACAGAGAAACACTGAACACATCCCTCTGAGGCTGGTAACAATCAGGAACTCATATTTTTACAAATATTAATTTCTTTAAATGTTTCCTCAGTGGTTTTATATCGTGTTTCTATAAAAGCAGATTATTTTTACGAGAGCAAAAAGGTTCAAATCAGAGCCCGAATCTTTCAGGAACTAAAATATGAGTCAAGCTGTAAAAACTAGAGTCCAAACTAATATGAAATAAAAAGACAGTGGCCAAAAGTTTATGGACACTGCTTTACACACAGTGTATTCAGATACTGAGTCCAGATTAGTCTTGGTCTGGTCTTACTGGTTTGAACTGGAGCAGAACCAGTCTAGGGGAGTTTAAAAACCTTGAGAGAATAAACCTGATAATGTGATAGAATATCAGTATTGGGCCCCAAAGATCAGTCGTTCTCTTGTCTGAACAACAGAACCAAGCGGCACAGTGTGCAGAGAGGGCCACGCTGTTCTTGTTCTGTATATCAGAAAACATCGCTCTCCTCTGCTCCAGTATTTTGTGAAATCTTATCAGGAGCGGTGTGCACAGCAACATTCCAGCTCGGGCCAATTCGTATTACTGCAAACAGTGATTGGCTTTCACGCGGCATCTGGTGACTGTAACAGGAGAGGAAAGTCGCAGAGGAATGTCGTCCGACCGCTCTGCCTCAGCTACTCTTTAATCCTCCTGACACCCTCGCTGGGCTGAGCGAGGGAGGACAAACACACCGGACATTCCTGCTCAACTCAACTTTGGACCATCGGCTCTCCAACGAGATTTCAAAATCCGAACCACCGACGGCCTCCTCCTGAGCCTCGGAGCGGCTGCCAGTCAGCTGAGGTGCAGAGGCACTGTAGGTCAGGTGGACTGGGTGTTTCCCCTCACATCCACATTCCTGAGCTGCTGCTCCGCTGGTGTGTTTATGGAGGCGTTAGTGTTTAATGATCTAATGGAATGTGTGATAAAGCTCCAGCAAATAACTGGAGCGATAAGCGGCGGTTTACTGGACGCTCAAATCCCTGAGTAACATTTTTTTACAAGTTCTGAACACATGCTGTTCAACAGAACCCGCAGCAGAGGACGTCTTAACTGCTTCATCTCAACGGCACAACGTTATTCCCACGAATTATTCACAGACGACCGATTACGACGAATGAAAGATAAGAACCAGGCAAAGATTCTTGAAGACAGATGCGTCACGTTCGGGATTTTAGTTTAGCTTTTCTTATTTCCATTTTGAATCTACACTATTTAAAAAAATGTCTTATCTACAAACAACAACAAAAATCAATCATTCACACTCCCGCACATGTGAAAGCTGTTTCCACACTGTGATAGAGGCTCAGTTGTGAAATCCTAACGCCACGTAGAGTGTCTACTGTCACTACAGTCGGACGAGTTGAACTATCGAGTGTCGCGTTGCTGTCGATTCTATTTCCATCAGTTTCAGGGTTTGATCATTTTAAGAATTTATGTTTGACGAATTTAGAATCTTCGTTGACTTTCAGGGGCTGTTTGTGTTTGTATAAATGGTCAGTCGTCTTGTTTCTGACATTTTAAAGACTTCACAATGAATTGATTATTCAAGACAATAATAATTGCTGACATGTTTTCTGACTTTTTGAGCTGACCATTTAAAAAGCTAATTGTGATAAATAGATAAACGACAGAAACCTCTCTGAGGAGGCTGACGAATTCTCTCAGTTCTGCTCTTTACAGTTTCTCAGCAGGAATCTTCAGAGGAAGGTGTTTGTGAATGTGAAGTCTGAGGGAAGGTCACACTAACGTTTGTTATTCAAGTCAGACTCTGACTGTCTTACTTTGCTCATGAAATAAAATCAGGAGCGCCGGTCACAGACCTCAGTGTGAGGATGGAAGCCCAGTGTCAACAAATACATCTGTTAACCTGCACCTCCGGACCACGAACAGCCACAAGAGAGAGAGCTGAGAGGAAGTGTGTGTGTGTGTGTGTGTACTAACTCTCTGAGGGTCTCGAAGCCTTGTTCTTTGAACTGCAGCTCCTGCTTCATACAGGCCAGGTCCCGCTTCAGCTTGTTCACCTGAGACACGAAGGAGAGGAGTGAAACTGTCAGGGTGTGGAAGGATCCAAAGAAGAAGGCCGGTGACGTTTTTATATTAATTAACCTCATTAAAAAAAACTCAAACCAAAACTGTGTGAGAAGATTCACAGACTTCTTTGTTCTTAAATCGTACGTTTGCTCAAGTTGCATCTTGAATGGAGATAGTTTGAAAATGAGTTTCTCTTGATTTAATCTTGTTTTATATTTATTTTCTTTCTTGTCATTGCCACTCGATATCTTTAGGTTTTCAGATTTTGTTTTTCAACGCTTTGATGACAAAATGATCAATTTATTAAGCTCAACCGTTGATGAATATAATATTGATCTTCAGGCCTGAACTCCGACAGTTACTTTATGTTTAATAGATCTGGGATCAGCCAACAGGAGGCAGACCGGCAGGCTCTTACCCGACTTTTAGATGTAGCTATCTCTGCTTTCAGGATCTCGGGGTCGTACTTGCTGGAAGACGATGATCTTGAGTTCACTGCAGAAGAAAGATGAAGAAAACAAACAGTAATGTTTAAAGATTTAAACATTACAAGTAAAAATAAGAGCAGACAACAGACTGAAGTTGGTTTCTACGTTCAGAATCAGATTCATGGATCTGATTAAAGATTCAAATCTTTATATTTTTGTTGTTTAAACATCTTTGTTGATTAAAAAACATCACGAGGGATGATCGTGATCTCATTTGATCCAGAATCCTGCAGCTCTATAATGAAAATGTATAAATGAACGTAATCTTTACGTGGGGTTGATTCACAGAAGGATGACAGGTGTGAGGAGTGTGTAACTGTAACCTGTGTTTTTATTGTTCACTTAAACATGTGTTTGAGGAAGAGTCTCCTCCCCTTGTTTGCATCAGGAGCTTGTTGGTGTCAGGCCGAGCTTCCTCCCTCGCCACGGTACTTACAGCTGGTCTGCGACGTCGTCTTGTCCCTCCACGCGTCGTTGAGCTGCCGGTACTCCTGCTGCGCCAGCCGCAGCCTCTGCTCCTTCACCTGGTAGATCTCCTTCTGGGCACTGAGGGCGTCCCGGGCCACAGCCAGGTAGTCCCGCAGCATGGTCTCCTGCTCCCGCTGCCACTGGGCCCGCGGGTCCTCCAGCTGGGTGCTCTCTGGAAGGACAGGAGGGCGAGAGGAGAATGGGTGCGTGGATGTGGACATGAGACACTCCAGGTATAAACGGAGAGCGATGGGGGCGGTACCAACTGAAGACGTAAACTCACTGGTGTTGTGGTCGACATAGTAAGCTCCAACGAGGGGGTCGTACGCCTCCTCCCAGCCGACCGGCAGCTCATCCCCGATACAGTCGGCAAACGTCAGAGGCTTCGTCTGCCTGAAGAAACAGAATCAGCGACAGATTCAGAATCAGATTCCTCTCCAACGTGACAGACAGTTGAAGATCAGGGTGGTTATCATCACAGTATTTGACTCAGTGGTAAAAACAGCACATGATGTGTGTGTGTGTGTGTGTGTGTGTGTGTGTGTGTGTGTGTGTGTGTGTGTGTGTGTGTGTGTGTGTGTGTGTGTGTGTGTGTGTGTGTNGTGTGTGTGTGTGTGTGTGTGTGTGTGTGTGTGTGCATGTGTGCATGTGTGCGTGTACAGGGGCTGGGGGTGGGTTGTCTGGTGTTTCAGTGAGTCCTCTGTTCACCTCGGAGGAGGGGGGGGTCTCTCTCTTGTCGGTCACAATAGGAGGAAACAGACCCGTGGCATTCCACAGGCACCACTGACGCATCGCCTGGAGGTTTCCGGGGCAACCCTCGACCTTACAGCGGCTTCACCGCAGCCGACGGTAAAATCAACCACGTTTACATTTTGTTTTGACGCAACCGAGTCCGAGTGTTTTAACTGACCAAAAATCTGATCCCTCCGGGATTTTGAATCATGTTGTTGTTTAATCTCTAATTCAACAGCAGAAAAAACAAAAGTTAAATGAAGAGAATGCGTCAAGACATGAGAGCCAATATCAGTCACAGGTTATATATTATCTATTTTTACATCTGAAGTGCAGAAATGTTCCTGAAACGTTCTGGAGGTGAGAACAAATGTTTTCTGGAACTTGTCGTGCTGCTCTACAGGCTCCGCCCCTTGCCTGAATGTTCCCCACATGTTCCTGTTGTTGTGAACGAGTCGATCTGCTGCTGCTTCACAGGACAAACTACACCTTTTCATTCCATGTCTGAAAACAGCATCAGGCCGACATATCTGTGTTGGATATTTTTAAAGTCCCTGATATCGATATTCGTATCGTCTCCAAACCTCCTCATCGTTGAGGCTCTAGTCGTTACCACCTAACATCAAACTACCGGTTGTCAGTGTGTCGAGGCTCCGTCACCCATCACAGGCACTTTGCGCTCTGGAGCTGTGAAGCTCAAGTGGCTATTGAATGACTGACAGTGAAATGGAGGCTGGGCCGCTGCCGCCAGCTGGTCCTTCGCTGCGAGGGAAACTGGCGAGTTGAGGTCAGCGACTCCCCCTCGGCCCGGCGATTAGAGGACAGGATTTAGCGGGTGAGAGGAGAGAGGAATCAAATAATGGGATGCGGACACCCAGCCAGCCAACCGGCCGGCCTTTTTTTTTCTCTGGGATCAGCGGTTGGCAGAAACCTCCCCGTCCTGCAGAGCTAAATTTAGAGCAGAGCTGAGGGGATCTTCTCCGGGCCCCTTTCATTATTCATCGGCTGAAAAAGGAGCCAGTTCGGCAGCGAGTCGCTGCTCAGTGTTTGTGCATCTGCAGTCACGAAACACAAGAGGCAGCAGAGGAGAGAAGCCCAACTCACTTTTACTCTGCTGCTCGTTGTCTCTCATGGATAATTCAATGGTAGTAGTTCGGTAGTGAGCGAGGTCCCGCCCACCTCTCAACCAATCCTGAGTCAGTCTGAGCTGTCAATCATGACGTCTCAACCCATTTATCAGATAATAAATTCAACTGATCAGAAACAATTGAACAAACCTCAGAGAGATAATAACGACCTGAAATGACAGAAACATCTTTGACAAACTTAGATTTTTTTTACTTCGGTCCATGTCCCATCTGCTCACATGGAGGAGGTTTATGACGTATGCTGCAGCCAGACACCAGGGGGCGATAGAGACACTTTGGCTTCACACCACGGCTCCTCATCTCTTTCAAACACTATTACCAAGTTTTATTTATCTCTTTAAATTTTTGGGATTCTACAAATATTCAGTTTGTTTAGAAAATAATTGACTCAAATAATTAACAGCAGCGAGAATCACAACCTGATTAACTGATTATTATCAATCTACAGAAAACTGGTGCAATCATTTCAATCATTTTTCTCTTGTTACAATTTCCATAAAGAAACAAATAATCAAATACCTTTGGGCTGCTGGTTGATATGTTGTATTTCAGTCGAGAGCTTTAATGTCACATGATGGTCTGCGTGTTTTTTAAGAAGCTTATCTGAGACTAAAACTCTGCCAGAGGAAAAAAAAAACGCAGAATTCTTGTGATGTTTTGGCATCAAAGTGCTCGAAAACTGATTTGTGGGATATTAATTGTGGTTTTCACGTCTGCCTTTTGAACCCCCCGACATGAGCCGAAGCAGAGTGCACACACACACACACACACACACACACACACACACACTCATGCACAAACACACGCACACCTCCGCAGGTTCTACACACGGAGGTAAACAGCTCCTGCTCTAATGCAAACTGACAAAGTGAGCGGCAGAGTGCAAACACACAGGGAGGCGAGCTGCATAGCTGAATGTTGAGTCAGAGAAATGCTCATTCAGAGCGGCAAATAAATTCCTCCAGTGGAGTTATGAGGGTTCAGACAGTCAACAGCCGCTCAAAGTCCAACAGCAAAACAATCACATGCACAAATAACGCTCAGAGAACATTTGTCATTTTAAATTAATTACAGCAGAAATTAGCCTCGGAGCGTCTTTTATCATGGTGACAGCTTGTTTTCTGACAGATAACATTCCTTTCACCTGATGATCTGCATTCAACACGTCGCTGAAGGGCGGAGGGATGATATTACTCAGAAGAATTTAGAGGCCGGACTTCATTCTCTGAAAACATCTTTCTTACTTTTGGCTTCAGTTTCTTTCTAATTGCCGTCATTCTGCAGGAAGTTTAATTAGAAAAATTGAAATGTTACTCCAGTGTTACCATTCTTTCTTCATAATTAATTTTAAAAATCCTCATTGTCTCTACAATCTGAACGAGCTGAGCTAAAAGGTTATGTCCGTCAAAAAACATAATAAATGATCAAAGCACTGAAATTGTGTAATAAAGGACAAAAATCGGACTCATCAGATTTTTCTAAATAAACAGATTGATCCAAAAGATTAGAGATTAGAGGAAAGAAATTTTTTTAGGTTTTGAGATATGAACATCTCTCTCTGGCATTACTACACGTTATCAACATGTTCACACGTTATCAACATGTTCACACGTTATCAACATGTTCACACGTTATCAACATGATCACACATAACGGGATGAAAGACAGAAGTCTTGACTTTCTGCTGCAAAAAGAATTCATTTTCTAAATATTCCGTTTTTTTATTTTGGATCGATTTAAACACAAACAGGACGTCTGTTTTCAAAGGGTTAAATGTGACTTTATGATTCACAATCAAAACTTCTTGATAAAGTAAAGAGTTGTTTCCTTCTGTAAAGTTTATAAGAGAAATAAAGTTGGGAAAAAAACAGGTAGACTCAAAATAGAAGAAATGAAATCAGACTGAATGTGGACGTCCTGTGCAGCAGCAGGTACTTCAGCTTTTCAAACACACAACACTGGAAATGTGCAACTGTTTCTGTGACGGCCCCGGGCAGGAAAAAGAACACAAGCACACACAACACACACACAACACACACACAAAGCTATCAGTGTCAAAATAAGGCTGGCCGTCTTTCTTCATTCCTAACAGTCCGACAATAATGGGAGATTTTTCACATGACTGCAGCAGTAGATTCAGAGCTGACGGCTCCATGAATTTCTTTTTCTTTCTTCTCTTTCACACAGAACGTTTCTGTCGTACATGTTCAAATCCAAGCATCAACGGTTCTGAACCTGCACGACTTGTGACGCTTATTTAACTGAGAACGATAAAAGTGAAATCCATGTATTTTGAGGCCTCACGGGAAGAAACAGAATCACTTGAAATATCAGCCCAGAGGAAACTGGAGCAAACGACGAAGCCACGACATCGGCAAAGAACTTAAAGGAAATATATACATTTAGTTCATCTGTCAGTAGACGTTCGGAAATGTCTCGATTCTTAGATGTATCGTGATGCGGACGTGTTCGAGTCTTGTTTTCAGCTAGTTTCATTGTTTGAGCTTCCTCCTCACTGCTCTGATCTGTCCTCACTTTACACTTACACATTAAACACCAGCACTGGTCACAGGTTATCAGGACACGTACAGGACTGACGTTGACACATGTTTAAACCTGCTACACACTCACACTCACTCACTCCGATTACGACGTAACGCAGCGTTTTAACTTCATCGTTGCAGAAGCAGCGACGACATGAATTCATCAGGCTCAGTGTGATGAGTCTGTAACATGTCATGACAAACACACGACTTGTCCCTGGCTCAAATGTAGATGTGGACTTTTGTGGACAATTTTAAGGTTCAACCTCGTAGGAGACACAAATAAAACAATGAAAACATTTTCTGTTGCTAATAGGTGGCGCCATGACTACACTGAAAACGTATATATATATATATTCAGGCCTCTACTGCGATCATACGAGTAGTATTTGGGCCGGAGTGAACAACAATTGAACAGCTGACCAATCAGAGCAGACTGGGCTTTGTCTCTTAAAGAGACAGGAGCTAAAACCAAGTGTTTGAGACAGAGGCTGAAAAGAGGAGCTGCAGCGACGGATGTGTTTTCTGAACATTAGAGCAAGAAAATGAATGAAGATTATCAACCTGAATATGAGCAGAACGTCTTCTGTCACACAGGAGTAAATGAGGTAAGAAAAAACAAATGCTCGCTTCTACACTTCCTCTGAGTTTTTGTGACTTCACTGGAACAAATAAAACTCAAAACACAAAAGGTTTCATTAAAAAGAAGGATTTTCAATCTGCAGACGAGTTTCCACTTTTGAATCACAGCATCATTTGTTCATTCAGGAATGAGAACACCTGGTTTAAAGTCTGCTTGTGTCACAGCGTGTTCCTGCATCAGGCTTTCTGCTGCTGTTGGTTACGTATTTTAAAAACTACACTGCAGCTGTGCCTCTGTTCAGATGCTGGTTAACAGTCTGCGGGGCCTCATGCTGCACTTCGACCCTGTGCACCTTGGCAGGCGGTGAAAGGGATTTCGGATGAATCGGGGCCTTTGGCTGGAGAGTCCGTGCGCCGCTCGCTCCTTCACGTCGTGTGTGTTTCAGGAATGTGTTGTGTGTTTGTTTGGAAAGGTTTTCTTCCTCCGAGTGTTAAACAACACGAGGAGAAAGTCTTAATTCCACTCTGCATCTTTTAGACATGTGCGAAAAACGGAAAGCCAAAGGTCTGTCGCATCACGAGCCAAACCGCAGGATGAAGGTCAGCATTATCAATCACGATGTAGTAAATCAATTGGCAGAGAACTGAAAATCCAAGTGTGGAGCTGTTTAATCGCAGATTTAGTCGGATTAAAAACTCCAGAAATCATAAGTAGTGTCACTCAAGATATTCAGGGATGGAAATTGACCTGTTCCAAATTGTGTGAACCAACAAAATCCTTTGCGTCTCAGATAACTTCCTGTTATCAATGTCTAGGAACCCACATCGAGGATGTGTCGCGGCGGAGACGAGGAAACGATCCAAACTGTGCAGTGAACTCCTGCAACATGGTGAAACACGTTTTTAAACGTGGGCTTATAGGAATAAAACATATCTGACGAATCCTGTGATGTAATAAGATGATAACGTACAGCAGACTTTGATCTGCTTCATTAAGTATTATCAATAATGGCAAAGGTATCAATGAAATCCTCTTAATCCTCATTCAAACACCAGTTTACAGTGAAGAAACTTTACGAGCTGTTTGGTTCTTCCTGCTTCTGTCTCACATTTGATATATTCCAGATTAATCAAAATTATATATAATAACTGAAGGATGAGCCTATTGAGTGTAAATAGTATCATCCAAAGCCAACACAGCAGAGATGCTGAGAGAGAATCAGCAGCTGGTATCAAACGGACAAATACATTTACACGTTTTTTTATACGTGAGCATCATGAAAATAGTGTCAGGACATTTTCTGGAGTTTGTGTTTCTCCTCTGAAGAAGCAGCAGGATATTGTCCGGGTCAGACTCTTTCACTCTGACAGTTTCCAGACATTTTACTAAGAGGCTGCAGGAAACGTTTGCGTTCTCACACACAGCCCCTCCAGAATATTTCAGGAAAATGTCTGAAAGTAGCTTGAGCTTTAATCTCTTCTTATCTATTCTTCTTTAATTTGATGAACACAAAATCTTGGACAAAGCAGATGCAGGTTTTTATTTAAGTTGAGAAGAAAAAAACTCTCAACAAAAATAATAAACTTTGACATGAAGCAAAAAATCCTCTCAGCTAAACTTAACTTCTAAAGAATAAACCCAAAGCTGACAAAATGACGGCTTATTCTCTCTTTTGTGTTGTGATATTTCACAAAAACCCTTTAATTAAGAATTAAAGCTGATTCTTCGTCTTCTGTACAGCTTCATGTAAAACACAGTGACAAAGAAAACCTAAGTCAATAAGAAAAGAGGCCGTTACTGACTCACAGCAGAAAAAAAGCGTCCCTGAGCCTCTGAATTCCAGACATAAGCCATTAAAAGGATTTGGTGTCAAAGTCCGAGGGGTCTTAAGTAACTGGTGAAGATGAAAAACGAGTCTCTGTGAAAATCTGGCCCCCCCCATTAACACCGTGTTTTGGTACAAGTGGGTCTGTGTTGAGTAGCGCCGCATGCTTGGTACTCTAAGCCTATTACACCGACGTATTTCTGTGAGAGAGTGGGATGTAAAAAAAAGAAGTAACTCACACCTCCAGACCTGATTTCAAACGAGAGGAACGAAGAAGAGCCGGAGGTCACTGCAGCAGAAGAAGAAGAATCCAGTATTTAAGTTCTAGTGACACGAAGCATCTATCGCACTTGTGTCCGCACATTCTGAGGTTTTTTTAACCTGTTAAAAGTTTTCTTTGGTAGTTTTACTCTTGTTGAGGGTTGAGAACGGTGGACTGTCGTACTTTGTTCAGATCTATGAGACAAATTGTGATTTGTGAATATGAGCTATATAAATAACAGTTGATTTTATTTAATATTTTAACTGCTTTAAATTAAGCTCAACTATCTGGAGGACTGTCTATCTTGAATTCCATGTTCCTTTTAAAAGGTATATTCTTTTAAGATCTTTGTTTGAGTGAGTTGAAAAAGTCTGAACCTAAATATCAGGTGTGAGACGTTCTTCAGACCAGAAGAGATGTTCTGGGTCTGGATCAAACTGCATCAAATCTTGAAAAGACCAGAAGCAGCCGAGGCACCTGTAGCTTTGTCATCAGGAACTTACAGACGAGACGTTTAACGGGACGAGACTCAGCGTTGCTTTAGTTGTAAAGTGCAGGTTTAGTGATGAAGTCGTGATGAAGAGCTGAGTCGTGATGAGAGGATATCTCACTGAGAGCAGAGGCACAAATTTCTCTCATTTGACCTTGAAGCCGAGTCTTTGTCCTTTAGTGAATTTACTGAATACGTCAGTGAGATTTCGGGGGGGGGGGGGGGACACTCTGTTCATAAGTGATGTCTCATTTAGCCTTGAGAAGAGAGACAGGCTCTTCTGTTGAATTCAATGGACGAACAACCTGTTCACAGTCATGAGGGAAAAAACTGATCCTGACTGAACGACGGGAGTCAGTGATTATGAAACACCTCGAAGAGAAAAACCAGAGTGTGAACGAAGAACTCGTCTCCAACTTCTTCCCGTTGTATAAAAACTACGCTGAAATATTTCAAAAACAAACACTGCGTGATCGAGGAGCGAGGCCGCGGTGTCGACATCCCACTGATTCACACTCGACCAATCGCGAGCCACTTTCGTCAGACGATAGCAGATCGACCTGAGCCAGAACCCACCGCAATAACTAATAAATATCTCTCTTCCACACAGCTGCTCAAATGTTCAAATGTTAGTTATTTTGATTATTTTCCAGCCGATACGTACAGTCCAGATAACGGAGTTGGTATCAAGAAGGGACCAATGGTATTAATACTAGTATTTATATGGCAAAGTCCAAGTATTGGAATCAGTATCGAGAAGGGAACAATGGTACTGGTACTTGTTTAAACCGATTTGCAAACTCCAGGTAAGGGACTTGGTATCAACATGGGAAAAATGGTATCTGTACTCGCAATTGGTCGATATGCAAAGTCCAGGTATCGGACACGGTATCGGGTTAGGGAAAATTTTGGACAATTCGCAAAGTCCAGGGTAGGAAGCATGGTGTCACTACTCAGTATCGGCCGACTCTTAAATCGAGGTACAGGAACTGAGAAGGAATAAATGTGCACAGCTCATCTCTACGGCAACGAGCGGACAAATGATTAATGGTGATAAAACACATCAGTGTGAACCAAAGTGAACGATGTCGTCACTACAGTCTCCATAGTGAGGATCTGCAGGGGTCACGTGCGGTTGAGATTAGCAAGGTGACCTGCAGGAGGTCAGAGGTCACGCTACCTGTCTCTGGGGTCGATCCAGCTCGTGCACTGGTTGATGTGGTCGATGTAATAGACTTTTCCATCGAAGTCTCTGGCCTCCTCCCAACCCTCAGGTAGTGGCAACTCCTTCCTGGGCATGTCAGGCGAGTCTCCATGTAATGAACCGCTCTGTGCTCAGAATCCTACCAGCGAGAAAGCATCTCTGTCACCTTCATCTTCCTCTTCATCAGCGCCTCCTCCCAAAACTGCGGGTCTGCGTGAGCGCAGAATAATAATCCATAATAATCCAGCAGCAGGTTCACGGGATGAAGCGGCTCCAGCTTCCACTCGTTTCACGAACACGAACCCGCAGATGTTTGTGGGGTTTCCGCAGCTTTGCGCATGTTTCTGCAACTTTTCCTCCAAAACCGGGAGGGAAACTTTTCCTCTGCGGGGAGATTATCCACGGTCCACGGAGCACGGCCGGTGCTGCCGCCGCCGCTGTTGCTCCGTCTGTCGGCTTCAGCTCTAAAACTTCCCCGCGTCCGTTTACAAAGTCCTCACAGCTCCGGTTGAACCCCGCAGGACGTGCGGCACAGCCCCCGGTGTGGTTTCTAAGCAGCTCCCCCCTCTACAGCAGCTCGCAGCCCGGGCTCGCTCCTCCGTCCTCCTGCCTACAGGCCACCATGTTTAGCAGCGGTAACCGATGCTAGCCGCCAGCCGCGGGGCAACGAACACCGCCGATCCCCGCCGAAGAACACGCAGGCTCCGAGCGGATCCTCCGCCGTTAAAATCCCGGTAAAGTCCGCGGGGAACTCGTGTGTGAAGTTGCTCGGTGCTCCGTTCAGAAGTACCCGGGGCGGAGCGACGCGGAGCGGCGATGAAGTCTTCACGGTCCCGATCACTTCGGCCGGTCCACCACCGTCAATCACGTCACCCACTGCAGGCTGCTTCCGGCGGCACTTTCAAAGTAAAAGTGTTTGTTGACGACTTCACAATTACACTTCCGGTCAAAGCCCAATTTAAAGGTTAGAAATACACATTATACTTAATAGATTTAATTATACTGTGAATAATACTGACAGGATCTATGACTGGTATATAATATAGAATTTAGGAATCATAGAGTGGTGACCTCATGTGTTTATTTTATGTGTTACGTGTTAATACAATTAAATGAGTTTCATTAGTGAAGCTCCGGATCACATTATTTCAAAGTATTTTACATGGAGAAACCAACAGATCCCACAACGAGCAGCTCTGACGACTGTGGAGAGAAGAAACTCTTCATCAGCTGGAAGACACCAGAGGAAGTGTGGACATTCTGAAGACAGGAGACAGAAGAGAGAGGGACCAGTCCTGCTGTGTTGTCTCACCACTAAGGCAATTTACCAACAACCGAGTTGTTAAAGTATTGAAATCTTGAAAAAACTTGACATTTATAATTCAATTACACAAAGAGAGAAATGGGAGAACAAAGGGCATAATAACAATTAACACAAATGACCTTAACAAAGACATAAAAACACTTTTGGGTTCACACAATTACACAATCAAAATTTACTTCATGATTGACAGAGTCACGTTTGAGAGCTGATGCTGACGCCTAGAGTAAAGTAGAGTAGAGTACA